GTTATTTCTTTCTCACCTTTACTTCCTTCGTCTGGTAAAGCTCTCATTGCTGTCTGTGATAAATTAACGCACCAGTGCTGAGGAGCTTGCAGGCTACGTAACGTATTCAGCTGGGCATCTGATGAGGAACAAATGTATATTTCAGTTTTTTGAGTAAAAAGATGTCGGTATTTTGTGTGTGAAATAAATGTGAAAAATGGCATTAAATGTCAAGGAAATACTGGGTATGCACATTCATACGAGTTTGTGCTGTTTGTCAATTTAAGAAGGTGCCTACCAGTACCTCCTGCAATTGCCTTTAGCAACTGAAATGTTGTCTCTGTTGGCTAATAGGCACAGCTCGTGAAGGATGCATTTGAGGCTCAGCGGGAATTCTTGAGGATTGCTTCCAAGTCGAAACAGCCTTCTCAGGTATGTGAGGTGTTATACCGCCGTCGTCCACTGACAGTTTGGTCTTCACAGTAAGGCGCTGTGTTGTAGAAGGCACGAGTAGTAAATGGCACACAGACACTAATAATCTAGACACAAGGCACAGTGATGTGTTGCTAGGATTAAAGTGCCCCTTAAAAGTTTTATGATGTTAAGATTGTAAATCAATAAATGTATCGTTGTGCCATCTATCTATCTATCTATCTATCTATATATCTATCTATCTATCTCTCTCTCTCTCTCTCTCGTGCTCTCGCTCTCTCGCTCGCTCTCTTACTCTCTCTCTCTCTCTCTCTCTCTCCCTCTCTCTCTTTCTCTTGTATATCATCATCACAATCATAATTATATTTGTGATTATTTACTCATATGTGTATGAGTAATGAGTATATATGAGTATGATATTACTGATATATGTTTAATTTCCAATGTTATTGTGCATCAGGATCTCTTGATGAAATTGCTGACACCTACGTCCAAGAAGATTCAGGAAGTTCAGCAGCTGCGCGAGGCTAACAGGGGCAAGGAGCATTTCAACCATCTGTCTGGTGTCGGCGAGTCCATACCAGCTCTTGGCTGGGTGACAATCGTAAGTCCCACATCTCATTCGCACTGTCGAAGAGATCGTAACTGCAATACAACACGCACATACGCACGCACGCATGGACCATGGTACACTGTTACTGCTATGTTACTACCCCGTTCTGTTACTAGTCGCTGTTGTATGCACTCTCCGGTACTTTCACCTGATATTCTTACATTCTGCAGTTCATTTGTAGTTTTCAAACATTAGCATTTATGTATTTTGTTAGAAACAAAATTAGTCTTAACATTAGTCTTCACATTAACTCGATCGTCTACGGGAAATGTAAGAGCTATGTTAAGACTAAATTTGTTTTGGACAATGTCGCCCTGCTCTGTTACTGCTCTGTGTTGAATGCACTCTGTGGTACTGTACCACGATATTCGTCCATTGCTTCAATTCTGCAGTATATTTCGAAGCTGGCCAAGTCAATCCCCTCCTAGGTTCACATCCTAGGTTGGTGCGTGATGTTGGGTCCACGCAATTTAAAGCAACACTCGAAGGATTTTGTTGCTTAGATTTAGTGATAAATGGAAGTCCCTTTGTTTTGGATTAATTTGACGTGTGATCGAAGTTGTCACTGAGCTGTTGGTATCCTCATTCACGCAGACACCGACACCGTCCCCGTACGTAAAGGAAATGGTCAACGCTGGGCAATTCTTCACGAACCGTGTGGTCAAGGACTACAAGGAAAAGTGAGTGCCTTCACATGTAGCTGCAAACACATGATATTTTTATATTCATATTTATAGGGGTGTATAGGAGATATATGTATATATATATATAATAGCAGGGTGCGAAATTAACGCGTCAAATTCTGGAGTCAAACACTCCCTGATTTACTGTCGGACTCCCTGATTTGACATATGCAGGAGTCCGTGTATATCCGAAAATTCTGCTACACTAACTAGTTCGTTCCAGAGAACGGCCTTGCTGAATTACCGTATTTTTCCAGCAAATGTCCAAAGAAAATTTGGCAGATGTGCAACTGCATGAATCTTCAAAATAAGCACATGCGTTATTGTTAATATCTTTAGTTTTGAACTTCAGATTGAGCCCAACAGACTCCCTTGTTCAAAAGTTCATTTCTACCCCTGTAATAATGTGGACATGCTAGCAAGGTTCACACCGTTGATCATGCTTGCAATGCAATCATTCACTGGGTGACATTTCATTGTAATGGCCGTGCACTGTGCATATATATAATATATATTATTATTATTATTATAGAGATCAGTTATTATATAGATCAGTTATATAGAGATCATGTTATTATAGAGATCAGTGGTAAATGGCCTAAATCAGTCCCAGAATGCAACAACCCACGACAAGGGGCATAAGTTCCGGTTGTATACATTCATTAACATTAGACTGGTACACCGACTGGATTCGATTTATTCCCGTCTGTTCGCGATCCTACGTGCGTCGACAGTCTCTTTTCCAGTTAGCAGGGTAAATAGATCCAACATTTATTAAAAAATGTGCAGCAAA